GTGCTGCCTCCATAGGAGTTTATCAGATTTACTCCCCTGTGGCAATAGGGTGGCAACTGCAAACCAGCCCGTTACAGAGTCACAGCACATCCCAGTGCTTTCCAAAACACGTGAACGTACTGGAACTTTGTTATTTTTCATTTCTATTCAACTCATTTGAGCCCCACCTCCAGTTTTCCTAGAGCTTTACATTAGTAAATCTCCCCAGAAGGCAACAAACCCCCCAAAAAACTGAATAAAGGGCAGGAAAGAACACAGGAAACCCATAGGCAGCTATTTAAAGAGTAAGTGATGCCTCATGGAAAACTCTGGAACACTCTGCTGTTAGTGGCAAACCCTCTGCACCGGTCCCAGGTCAATCACTGCATCCCTGCAGTCCTCAGTGCCACAACACTGAATAGCAGGGAATGGGGAGAGCCTTTGCATCCAACACCTTTTCCTGGGCATCTCCAAGCAGCTTGGGGCAGGAGGAACCAGCCAAAAGCCCAGGGTGTTCCTCCTGAACCCCCTGAAAGCTTCTAGAAGGCCTGAGTTTCACAACCTATTTTGTGAACCCCACTATCTAAATAACAACCACACATTCACCTTCACCAGATGAAAGGGATGGAGGCGGCAGATGCAGTGCGACACTGACCTCTATAGCATTAAACCCACAACTTATCTTGTTACTTTTGGGGTGCAGCAGCCCAGCCATAGACTTATCTAGCTGGCTTTTTACCCCAAGACCTGAATCAGGAATACAAGCAGCCCACAACACCCCTTGGGTCCCTTTGTCATCACTGGCTCAGAGTTTGCTATGATACTGAGGATAGACAGGGGTATCAAGAGAATAATCATACAACTGAGGACAAAGGCCAGTCCATGTATTCCTGGGATTTAAATTCACTAGTAATTCTTATGAAAAGTGATAGAAGGTGGTTAGAGAATTAAGAGTTTTGGCTGTTTTGTGCCTTTTGAGTTCTGTGAAGTGATGAACTGCCCTTGAGGAGAGACCACCTAAGCAATGCAGAAGCTGGATTTCAGTCTGGATGTAGGAGCGTGGCAGTAAAGAATCCAGGGAACCAGGTTTGCTGGGAAAAGGGCCAGGCTTAATTTCACTGCATTCTCCTGAGGTTTCCCCTCTACACTGCACCACCAAATGAGGGCTCAGCAAACCCCTCCATGTCCCAGTGCATCTCAGACCAACATTAGCAGAGAAACCCAAATCCTATGTCTGAATTCAGCCGGATCCAGCCAATTTCTGACACACTTCGCCTTCCTGCCTAAAATCTGTAGGTCTAATGGAGAAGCAGAAATAATTGAAACCCCACAGCCTCTCAGGGCTGCAAAGCCTGAATAATGGTTTAATGAGCAGGCGACCCTCCAAAGTCTGAGGAAGGAAGAAGGAAAGGTCTGGATAAGTGGCATGGAAAAGTAAACTTAGGATCTGGAGATTGAGGAGCTGCTGAAACCGAAAACCTCATTTGCATAAGAAAGATTTTCATATCATCAATGTATAATGAAGTTTCCCACCATGCTGAAGATGCTCTGCTCTGAGCTTGTGCCAGTGGCTGACCCCCCTGCTCGCTCCTACAGCCCCGCAAGGCTTTGTGCCTACGCGAGATGGTACACGGGGGTCAAGGCAATGAGGAACAAGCAGTCCGTGCTTACAGCAAGTCCATTTTGGGAAGGTAGGAAAACTTGATCTCACTCATGTTTTCCTCTTAGCTATCCCCGCTCTAAAGTGGCTGAGCGCTTCCAGGAAGAAAAGCGTCCCCAGGATGAATTTTCCACACAACTGGAAAAACAGAAGGGCTACAAAAACACCATTTAGATGCATTTAAACGGTTTAGATACCGTTCCTCTAAGGGAAAAGGCTTCTCAGAGGATTTCCACGTGGTTAAGGCTCAGGGATGCCTCTGCTCATCTCATTGAGCTCTGACACTGGTTTCCTCACCTTACCCTCCTGCACGTGCAATCCCTGTTCACCTTCTCAGAAAGCTCAGAAGAGTGGGCAGTATGGAAGAATCAGTGCTACACGGGCTAGACACAGCCTGGACTTCCTAAGGAGGAGGGGTTGGGCTTGGTTCAGGGCTTTGCGAAGAAAATGAGGCTGTGTAGAGGATAAGGAAGATTTATTGCACATTTACTTTCAGCAAATGTTTTTTGAATGACTGAATAATCCCTTAGTCCCTTGAACACGGGCCCTCCCTGACACACAATGCGTCTTTTGACGCTCATTAAAAGGTTCACCTTATGCAGGCGTGTAATTAGAGCCCGGCAGGATAAAAATCTCCATTCTGATTACTGCACCGATTATAGGCACCGAGATCCCAGCTGACTGTGCAAAGCCGGCCTGGGAAAGCCCATTTTGTTGCATTCAAGTCCTAGCACAGCGGGAGCACTAATCACAACTGTCCTCATGCAAGGTGGTCTCGGCAGAGCCCAGGAGAGGGAGCACCAGTGAGAAACCGGAGCGGATTAACAAACCAAAGGTGGGAAGAATTCAGCAAAGTGTAATGGGCAGGATGGAAAACACAATATCCCTGCATCCCAACTGGCCCTACTGCCTGCCGAGCCCAGCAGAGCTATCAAGATCTACTAACAAGCAGCTTCTTTAAAGTCAGAGGCAATAACGTTGAATGTACATTTTAAATCAATCGCTTTCTTTTCCAGAGGGTTTTGGGGTTTTTCCCCTGCAGTTTGAACCCCCTTGCCAAGAAAGCAACCGCTTTAAAGTGCTTTAGGAACGGCGAGTCTGCTGAAACCCTTCCTGCATTCAACACGTGCAGCCAAATGTGGCCGTAAGTGATGCCGGGAGAGCTCCTCCGAGCTCGGAGCCAGCAGGAACCTCAGTGCGGAGGGGAGCTGGGGGGGAAAGCCAGCTTTCCTAACGCAGAAGGAGCTACCCGATGGGGCCATGGGACTTTACCAGTGACGTACGGCAAGGGAGTTCCCAGGAGCCCCTCATTAATGACCTGCCACCCAATCAAGAGGCCGGCGGCGGTGATTTCCCCAGGCGGGATAGACTTCCCGGCTCTCTCCGATTCCTGCTCACCCACCCATGTCAGCGCTGCCTTATCCCCGCAGCTTTCTCAACAGCGCTTTTGTTGGGAACTTCAGGATAAATCTGGTTTGCGAGAGCGTTTCTGCAGGGACTCACCCCACCGGATCCCTCAGTAGTCCCCCACATCCGATCACGCTCACACACGCTGCAGACTGCCCCAGCTGAACACTGAGCTATTCTATTGACGGCTATTTTTCAGGAGCAAACTGCAAACATTTCTGAGTTTGCTCCCCCCCCCGCCCCCTTTCCTCCACCCCAGCTGCAAGAACGCGCTTTTGCTCAGTCAGGAAAAGCAAATGAGCAGAGCCTGTGGTCCTGTCTCTCCTTTTTTCTGCCACTTATGAGGGCAAGGGGTGAAGGAACCTTGTCCCTTGTGCACTACGGAAGCTGCAAGAGGGACGTACGCGTTTCTGAAACATGATGTCTGACACAGAGAAATATGAAGTGCCCATTGTGTGTTCGGGTACAGTGATAAGTCCCTTTCCTTCCTGCTGCAAGAGCTCCCTAGGAGAGGAGAGGGCTCCTCAAAGGCATTTCTCAGGGGCTGCAACAGCACTTTGCATGCTGAATGTGCCCCAGAGAACACAAAGCCCAGACCTGCCACATGCAGTTTGGTGGCAACACATTTCATCAGCTAATCCACCAGTAACTTCTCAAAGCCTCTTCTGTGACACACAGTTTACACAAGTCCTCGACGCATTTTCTTTTCCATTTCCTTAATAAAGACCGCAGTGAATCTTTCACCAGTCCGAGAAGCCCCATGGCAAGCCTTGGGGGCATGTGGCTTATCTTCTCAGAAGCAAGTCAGGACAGCACACATCAACCCCCATCGTCTACACAGTACCTCTGCATCCTCCACTGAAGGTTAATTCTCCAGGGATGAAATAAATCATATTTCTTGGAGTCCTTCAGTTTGACCTGTGTCTAAGAAGGGGGAAGCAGGAAGGGGATGGGGACAATGAGATGCATTACAATGGGCTTTGGAGCCTCTTCATGGAATCATAAATCAGACTGGTTTGTGTTGGAAGGAACCTTGCCACAGGCAGGGACACCTTCCACTAGACCAGGTTGCTCCAAGCCCCCTCCAACCTAGCCTTGAGCACTTCCAGGGATGGGGAAGCCAAGTGAGAACCACAACATCCCACCCCACACAAATCCCACCTATTATCAGGGAAACACTCTGACAGCATTGTGAAAGCTCTCCTACAATAACCAGAAAGAAGCTCCCGAAGCACTGAGAAAAGCATGACAGTCCCCAACAAGCACAAACAGCTTCCTCGAGGAGCCCTGAAGCCAAACAGAGTAAGAGAGATGAGAGTTCCGACAAAGGGACTATCAGGACATCCAGACAGCACAGGTTAAACCTGGCTCTGCACGCTGACACCTCATCTTTCAACACCAGGGAAACTAAAAGCCTGTAAGCAACAGGTTATCCTCAAGCAGCGGAGCTGGACTTGGATTCTATTGCTCACACCATAAATCACCATGTCAGCTGCCCCAGACATTTCCACTTGCCAGAGTGGAACTGGGTAAAAGTGCCTGGTGCTTTCCCGATAGAGGGGATTAGCTACAGAACAAGGAGGAAAAGTGACATAAAACGATGCATGGTGCCTTTTCCCGGAATAATGATCCCCACATTTGCATAGCGCGGCTCAGCGCGTGTCTGCATCTCTGATCACACCTCTGGGTGCATCCAAAGTGTTATTCATTTCCATCGAGGAGGATTAAGAAGCTTAAATTGTTAGCGCCCATTTACTCAGACTTAATGCATTTTTAAAGCTGCCTCATTATATGCTGATGTGCAGGTGCTCAGCAGCGAGAGACACTTGAAAAGGATGAAGCACACATAGGGTCAGCCCCAGGTACAGGAGGAGTCTTCCTCCTTCCCTGCATCCAACCCCTCTGGCCTCCTTGCAGCAGCCCCGCAGGTAATTTGGGCTCTGGATTGGGAAAGCCAGTTTGCCAGGAGCTCGCCCAGGGAATTCACTCACACCACTTCTCCCTCGCACCACGTGTGGCCCGGGAACAACCCCTCTGCTCCCCGCTTGCTTTCCTGTGCAAGCGATAAGGAGGAAATCCGTCCCAGACAGCCGGACAGAGAGCTCACCCCTGCCCCATGGTGCAGCCAGTCCGAGTCGCCAGCTCGCAGGACGTTAATTAGAGGTGGCCGCCAATTAAGAGCGGAACAGTTCATGCCAGTGCCAGGGCTGCCTGGCGCCGGATCAAGAGAAACAACCCCTCGGTGTTTACACTGCGGAGTAACCCGACATCCCGTAACTCCGCGTTACTCACTGCGGTGACCTCATCCTGTGCCCGCCTGCTACAAGCGCTCGTAATTACACCTCACCGGCTGCTCTTCCCTCTCCACGGCAGATACGAGGAATAATTAATAATGTGTATCTATGGAGTAGAGCTCGTACCCCCCCCCTCCCATCCCCGACCCGCAAGCTGGAAGCAGGACCGGGTCCGTTACCTGCGCTCGCCCCCCGCTCGGCAGCCGCGGCTCTCCCATGGCTCTGCCCGCCGGGCGGTGGGGACCGGGGGCTCCGGGGGGATCTTCTGCCGGGCTGCAACAGAAAAGGTGAGTTTAAAGCTCCTTATTTGGGCAGTGATGTAAAGGGAAGTTGTTCAGCCGGCGCCACCCCCTTTTTCCATTCACTACACATTGTTTCCTGTTGTCAAGCAGCTGCCGGGGCTCTCGGAGCGGACAAGGGAATCCTGCGGCCCCCGGATGCTGCGGGAGGAGCTGCCGGGGCTGCCCGGTCCCCGCAGCCCCAAGCGGGGACGGGGGAACCGAGACTCCGCCGGGCTGGACCGCAGGAGCGGGTCGGAGATGCTCGTGGTCCGCGTCGTTCCCCCCCCTCCACACCTCCCAGCGCTTTCCATCACAAAAGCGGCTTCTTGCCTGCAGGAGCCGGTGCCGTTGGAGCCCGGGAGGGAAGGAAGCAGCCCCGGCCCGGCGGAGGGAGCGCGCTGCCGGCACGGTGCTGCCAGCGCGGCTCGCCCGCCCCGCCGCCTCCCTCCCCTCTCCATCCATCCCTCCCTCGCCGCCTTCCTCCACCACATCCTCCTCCTCCTCCTCATCCCCTCCCGCTCTGTCCCGGCAATCCCGCTCCCCCATCTGAGGGGGGGGGGACCTGAGGGCAGCCCGAGCAGCTTCCCTCGGGATTGGGAAGCGGAAGGGGGGGCTGCAACCGGGGAAGGGGAGTCAGAGGGACCCGTCCGCTTCCGCCCGCTGCTGCGGCAGGGAGAGGAGGGGGAAAGAGGATCCGGCACCCCCTCGACGGCCCCGATTACCCCAAACGCAGTTAGATTTTTTTCTCCTTTTCCTCTTTTTGTCCCTTTTTTCCTTTTGTTTTTCCCCATAAGTTATCACTGCCGTGGCAATCTGCAAGTCTGAGCCCTTGCGCTAAAAGGGAGAAAGACAAAGTCCTCCTTCATTCTGCTGCAGGCAAGGCAAAACGAGCAGGCAAGCGAGATCCCGAGATCCGCAGAGCCCCGTCCCACTTCCCTGGGATGATGGCCTAAGGCTCCCACCAGGATCCCGGCTCTGGGCAGCCTGAGATGAGCTCAGAGGACGGAGTCAGACAACCCCAGGCCAGACAGCTGGGAAGCAGCAGGCTGGGAGGGGGGGTAGAAGAAAGCAGAAGTAGCTGTACCCCAGAGCTGGCTTGGCTGAAACTGCATCTCAGTGCTCCTTTTCTAAGGCAGGCAGCACAAAAAAATCCTTAAACACCCTGACCCCTCAGAACCCCCACTATTACCAAGCCTATGTTCCTATCTGACTCCAGACTATCAAGTCAGGCTTAGGCCAAAAGAAAAGTCACCTAATGATGAAATAGCAATGATGCGAAGTCTCTGTGATGGAATTAATTACACTGGCAGCCAAATGAGAAACTTCACCGGATGTGCTTTTTGGGGTGAACGGCAACAGAGGTGTCACTTTGCTCAGCAAACAGCACATTGCTCATCAGGAGAATGAATGACTGGGAACCCGCTATCGAAACACCCGCCTGGCCCATCTCCAACCAGCCACAGAGCAAGCTCCACGTCAACTGCATCCCCTGAATGCTTTTGTAATACAAATACCGTGTAACACATGCGCTTCAATTCCCTCAATAGCCCGGTTTCACACCCAATTTCAGCTCCTCTCATTTCAGGCAGAAATAAGAATTGGAGCGTGATGTAAAAATGCTCCGTAGTTTTATTTGTTTAATTTTGTTCAATTTTGTTCCCAAGCTGCTCCAGGCTCAGCCTGAGTCACTTTGGTGTCAGCAGGTGCAGTTGCTTAAGGTCCTTAAGGAATTGTACGGATGCAGTCAGACACTGGATACGCTAACTAGCCCGCAAGGACTCTCAACCAGTGCATGTGGAATGGCCTCTACCCTCCCAAACCTCACTTGATAAACACTGAAATTGGGTGTATTTCCCCCTCGAGCCAGCTCTCACATCAAACTGGCTGCAATTACTGAGCTGCTCCATCCCAGGCGCTGGGTTCCAGCCCCAGCTGCACATCCCGTTTGCTGCTGGCCATGGAGAGCAGATCACATCCAGAGCTCTGCACAGCCCAGCTCTGGTGGGCCAGGAGCAGTAAAAGCAGGTTTGTCACATCAAGGCCAGCTAACACAACCCACACTGCCCAGGGGACTGTGGCAATAGAAGGGACTGCATACGCAAGCATCCAACTTGAGGGTATGGACAGACATGTAATAGATGAAGTAGAGCTCATAGTAGCATGGACAGAAACACAGGGACCCCTAATCAGAAGCAAAAGCAGCCACCAAAGCAATGTCCCATTTACTCCATGTCACAGTGGGTTAAAATCAGCTACATCTCAGTTACTGCATAAGTCTCCGATCTTTCAGGTCCCTTCCAACCCAAACCAACCTAGGATTTCATCAGCTTCATGATGGTTCTGATTTCACTAGGCCAGACAGATCATCTCCTCCTGACGTCCACCGTCTTCCTTCCTTCCTCCTGTGCACAGGGATGAACTGAGAGCTGTGAGAAGGACTTACTGAAGTATCATCTCCCAGCCTGGAGTGACTGTGAGAGGCTTCAGCACTTCTGTTATGATAAATTCTCTCTTCCTTGGAAGACACAGCCCCAGGAGTTCAGGAAAACACTGGCAAAGTGCTAACATTGCTTTAAGAGTGCACCACAGAACATCAAACACGGGCACATTCAGGGTTTGAATGATTTTAACCAGCCTCCTTTACCGTGCTCATCCCATCAAACACCCAAACATCCTTTTCACAATCATGGAGGTTGAGCTCTCTGCTCCAACACCCAAAAAGGTCCAGGTATTTTTTCCCCTGAGCACAAACACCACCATTCAGGGCAACCAACACAAAGGTGTTTGCCTGGTCCTGGTGGCTTTTCCTGGGTGGAAGAGCGTGGTTTTGCTTGGATGGGAAAAGGAAGGACCAGGCTCCCCTGAGACTCCTCTTCCCACCGCAGGGTCAGGAACACAGAGGGTTAAGTTCAGGCCGTGACCGGCAGTTTTGTGGATATCCTTTGTTAGAACCCAGCATTTAGTCAGGAAAGGGGCTGTCCTCAGGTCAGGTTTAAACAACCACATCTCATTTAAAGCTCAGCCTCTTTCCCTCCCCTTGGTGTTTAGTCTGGTTACGCTGCCTTCACCCCACTCCTGTTCACCTCAGCGTGGCCCAGGGTGTGCACAAATTACCTGCTGCCTGAAAAACCTCTTTGAATCTGTTCCCACTTCTCTGTTTTTGGGCTCTATTGCTTTTTCCACCATCCCTGCTGCTGTGGAGGAGTTCCCAGCGCTGTGCTCCTCCTTGGAGCACCCTTGGTGCTCTGTTTGCTCTGCGCTCTTCCAGCTGGTCCCTAACTCGCTCTTCTCTTCCCTGCTGCTAAAATGCGTTAAGAGAAGCCAAAAGCATGGTCAGGACTTTGAGCTTTTCCATATCCGTGACTGTTTGAGCTGCTGTTTGAGTAACTCACTGGGAAAGGAGGTTCCCCCAAAGAACCCCTTTGCTACAGTGTGGGAATCAGAACCCCAGCCTGGTTTGGGTTGGAAGGGACCTTAAAGCTCCTCCAGCTCCAACCCCTGCCACGGGCAGGGACCCCTTCCACTGGAGCAGCTTGCTCCAAGCCCCTGTGTCCAACCTGGCCTTGAACACTGCCAGGGATGGGGCAGCCACAGCTTCTCTGGGCACCCTGTGCCAGCGCCTCAGCACCCTCCCAGGGAAGAGCTTCTGCCTAAGAGCTCATCTCAGTCTCCCCTTGGGCAGGTTAAAGCCATTCCCCTTGGCCTGTCCCTACAGACCCTTGTCCAAAGCCCCTCTCCAGGTTTCCTGGAGCCCCTTTAGGTATAAGAAAGCAAAGGAACCAGGGATTTTCACATGAGTTCTCACAGATTTGCTGTGCAGTTATCAACAGGTCACTTCACCTGTCTGGGGACCTACAAATGCTGTTGTGTATTTAGTTTTTATTAAAGCCCCTATGCCCAGCTATGGGCAATCACACTCCTGACTGAATAGGCGACAGGGAACACGGTTTTCATGTCATCCTTTCCCCTTGGGAAAGCTACAGTAGCCAAAACCAGTGAATCAAACACATTTCAGACACATTTAACAACCTTTTACAACCTGAACTGTAAATCCCTAAAAGCGAAATAAGATCTTCAGAAGTTTTAGGTCACTCAGCACCACTGGCAAGCCCTGAGCCTCCCCTGCTTTTAGAAATCCCACCAGGCACCTTTCCTGGGGTGAGATTATTTGGAAGACTGACCCCAGGAAGCCCATATCCCTTCTTTTGCCAGCCCATCACCAAACCCCCATTGAAGGGCAGCACTGGTTTGGCTTCAGTTCCTCCCTCTCATGCCCTGTCATAGCTCTGCTCTCCCCAGCTTGCTTCCATCCTGGACCTCAGGCACTGCGGGAGCTCTGTGTCTCACTTTCCACATCTGCAAAATGGGAATAACAACGTTCCTTAACGCAAAAGGTCCCTGTGCTTGTTAAACATTTCAAAAGCATGTGGGAGAATATTCAATTATCCCCCCCCCCAAAAAAAAAAAAATCACTGCAAAGTTTCATTATTATTCCAACACTTCCATTAAAGACACATGTCCTTGTAAGTAACAGGCATGAGGAATCATTATGCTAATTTTAGACAGAGCATCTGCTCAATGTTAAATCTGAAACTTTGTCTCGAAGAAATCATAAAAATGCTTTTTTCTGCAGAATTGACATTTGTCAAACAATATGTTGCGAATGGAAAGCGCAGCCAGCCATGAGTAATCCGAGCGAGCACATGTATTCCACCACGGGGAAAAGCGCTCGGGGAGGGACGCTGCTGCATTTTGGCATGGCAGGAATTAATGAGTAAAGTAACCAGGCTGACGTGCTTCCTGCCTCCAAACCATCCCTGCCAGCTCCGGACCGTGGCACAGACCCTGCCTTGGAGCTCTGTGATCTCTGGCTGCCTGTGCCCTTTCCTTCTGCCTTCATTCCCAGCATCCAGGGGTTACCTGACCTACCAGCTCCCCCCCCCCAGGCACTGCTCAGCATCTCCCTGGGAGAAGGTCAGCTAGAAACCTGGGACTTCTCCCTTCACCACAAGTGTTCCTATGGAGATCAAATGGCCTTAAGCTATGCTTACTGTGCTGGACCAAACAACATCCATTTCTTCAAGCACCATCTTACCCTATTTTAACATGTTTGCACAAGCACATGAGCAGCTTCCCACTCACCTACCCCAGTTCTGCAGCGTACCAGGAGACAGGAGACAGCATCTTCAGAACTTGGGGGTTCTACAGAGCTTTGGGGGTTGGAACTAGATGATCTTAAGGTCCTTTCCAACCCTCACCGTTCCATGATTCCATCAGCCCGAACTCTCTCAGTTGCCAGCCCTGTTTGCACTGGGAGATGAGACACAGTGACTTCCCACCCCATTTTTTCCCTTCCCTTCTGTTTTCCTGGACAGCCTTTCTATAAGTTTTAGGCCAGGCATTTCCAGTGTGCCTGGGGAGCCCTGGGGATCAGTGGCAGCTTGTAAGGTTTTTGTGAGCTGTAACTAAGAAAAGCAAATCCAGCCCCTGGAAGCTGGAATTTGCTATGCAAATGATGCACCCCCCCTGTAAAAAATGTGAGATGTACAAATCAAGGAAAAAGGTTGGAATCCACTGAAATAGCCCAATATACAGGAAACACCCCAATAACCACATCAACGCATGTGAAACAAGGTGTTACAGATGAGGTCCACATCTAGCAGAAGGAGGGTCTATACATCATAAGCATTAATTTATAAACTAAATAAGCATTTTTACCATATATTTTCAATTGCTCTGTATCCACAGGAGTCATCTCCCCTTTAGGAAACAGTGCAAAAATAAACGTTCCATTTTGCTTCAAAGAAGTCAAGTGGTCGCAAATTGCCATCGTCACGTCTTGTGGATAAAGTCTTCCCAATTCTACCTAGTAGAGCTCAAAAGTCCTATTAGAAATTGCTCATCTCAAATATCCTAAATGCCTATTTGTAAAATCAGCCACTGATTCCTGATC